TGGTGCGGGGCCGTCCGATCCTGACGCGATCGCCAGTTCTGGGGAGCCTGTCGAGGCGGTCCTTGGGGCTCACGTCTGCGGGGCCCGCCACGTGGCGTGGGTTGGTGCGAACTAGGCCCAGGTGCCGAGGCTTCGGTGGTTCCGGTATGGGCACGCCGCCTACAGCTTCGACACGGGGTGGAGGGCCAGTAGGGTGCTATGGAATTCCACGGTACTACTGTAAGCTGATGATAGGGGAGGAGGAGGTGGTATGACGGGAAATTAGTGGCGATAATGGCGAAGCCGGGAGTTATGAAATACTGCGTGTTGTACGTGTTTGGGTAGTCGGGTCCCTGCGGGTCGCTTCGTACGGTGAGATGGAATTCCCTAGCGCAAAATCTATCATTCTCTGTGAGGCAGGGGAATACCGGGTTCCTCAAATTTCCCCGTAATCGGAGCTGCTCTTCTTCCCAGATTTCTCGGTACCCAAAATACGACTCGTAATCCTTGGAATTCCAAGATACGTCGGAACTCCGCGAGCTCGTCATTCTTTCATCACTCACGCCTTGCGGGATGAGTTAATCAGGGAGATCACCGCTCGTAAGTGCATAAGAGAGATGCAATCGAGTCGCACTTACGCGCACTTATGCGTGATGGGTACCCCGATCCCGATTGACATCGACTCCTACTTCAGTGAGGGGCTGGCTACGCGCATTGGCGAGTCCGAGTGGTATGGACACATGTAAGCCGCGCTCCGTCCGGATCGCACTTGCATGTGCCCATATGGCACGTCGGAYRGTGTGCTCCARACTACCCGTAAGATACGACAAGCCAACWCACTCTATTRATCACGCSAACATGCAATCCCCATTTTCACTCATCATGTACGAGGGTTCGAGGGAAACGATMAAAAACGAAAGGCGAGGGTSCGCGAACCRTCCATACATCATTTGCAAAAGAGGATTCCGGAGAAGGAAAGAAAAAGGAGAAAACATCGATGAAAAACCAAATCAGACAACAGGACGAGTATATGGTTGCAAAGACAAGGGCGAATTGCCCGTAATGGACACCAATATTTATATACACAGATAAAAAAGGGAACGAAAAGAAAAGCGCAAATCCATGTCCATCCTCAATCTCAACTCCCTCTCCTCTCTCTCTCTCTCCGATGCCGACAGTCCGTCGTCGAGCACCAACACACGAAGCCGTCACCCCGCTTAGTCCTCCTGCGCCCGTCAGGTTCGCTCCGCGCCCACAGTCCGTCGTGGCTCGCGTCAACCCCGCGGATTCGGCACCAGCTCGTCGGGTCGCCCGACTCCCACTTCACTCACCTCTTACTTCGCTCGTGTGCCGACCCTCTCGATCGCGCAACCCCGAGCTTCCAGCAACTGTTAAGAGAGCAAGTTAATCGCGCAGCCGGAATTTATAGCGTGCATGCATGCGCGAAGAACACGGAATTACAAGGACGTAGATAGATGGGGGAGAGGGAGTGCCTACGTTTGCATGGCCGGGCCGCGGCGTGGGGGACGTACCCACTCCACGCATCGATCCGAACATGCAAACGCGGCTACCCAATGTAGGCAGGGGGGGGAAGGAAGAAACGAGGCGGGAAGAAGAAGAAGCAAGAAACAGAAAGATACAGTTACAAAAGTATGCGCCAAAAATTACAGTTGCAAAAGGATTGAGGCGCCAATCAACCAAGGTTCCGGCGCAGCAGCAAGAAAGAGYGCGCGAACATGCAGAGCAGCGCSCCAGAAAAACAGAAATTCCWAAATTCCWAAATTCCTAGCTARCCTGCCGAAAAGGTCCGAAAAGAAAATCAAAATTCCGAAGACCGTATGGCTCCGACCAAGATTCGAAAAGAAAATTCAARAAAGAAATTYRAAAAGAGACACCGAAATTCCCGCGYGATGTCTGCGCGCCCAAGAGTCCGACAAAACAAAATTAAAAGAAKKAAAAYGAAAGAAAAGAAGGGACGTCAATGTTKATTAATCGCGCACTCGGCGCGCATTCCGCATCCGTCCAAGTTTCGCCCCCTTTTCCCCGTGTATTCCCGAATTGTCCCCAACTGTCATCAGGGGCTCGTGCGAGAACGAAGAAACAACAAAAAAGCAAGGACACACATGCAATTTTCCATCAACCCGCCCAATCGACGTGGGACCCCGCTTAGCACTTCGCGCCGAAAGTCGTGCGTTACAGAAGCTAGTTCGTCACATATGTGACGCCCAGGGGGTTCCAAAGATGAGCAAGCTCCTGCTTGCTAGCTGACGTGTCGCTCATCTTCGATTGATTGGCCGTGGATGGTTGATCTTCTTTTGTGCCGCATACCGTGCGAACGAGTGTGGAATTCATGCTGCGCGGCAGTCGTATCCTGGTTGTCGTCATTCGTGGGGAAGAGGAAAAGGAAGACGATAGGCAGGCGGAGGTGTTGATGGGGGATGAGTCGGGACAGGCAGGAATAAGCGTTCCAGCTCATCGTCCGTCTCCGGAAGGCTCCGATGATGGACGATTCTATGGAAGCGGGGGAATCGGCGGCCAGTAGTGGGGAGAGAAGCGAGGTAGTCGGGATAGAGAGTGGCGAAGGTTCTAAGAAGCGCCGCGCGGAAGCGATCGCGGTCGGCGCATGCGGGGATTAACCCCGTGATGAGGCAATAAACCTCTACGGCGTTGATACGACGCCATCCAACGCTGAAGAGGAGTACATGGAGAGGGAACTCGGGGGAAGCACGCCGGGAGGATGAGTGGGGATGGACTGTGACAGAGAGGCGGATGGAGTAGTAATGACGGAAAGTGTCGCGGGGGAAGGGGTTGTGGAGGAAGACGGCGGGATGGGTGAGCTGGCGCAGGGTGAGGAAGTCATGGGGGCGGAGAGAGAGAGCCCGAGGACGAAGACCGATCGGCCTCATCTCGACGTGCTCGAAGTGGGGGACGGGCCGTGAGGGAGAGGGAGGCGGAGGGGGAGCGGCTTCGTCGTCGGCGTCGCGGTGGGGAAGGAGGCCGACGAGCGGACGGCCCAGCCATCTGAGCCACATGGCCGTCGTCTAGCTGAGGTGGCTCCAGGTCGAGCGTTGGATCGTTGCTGATCGGAAGATCAGCAACCGGCGCAATCTCTAGCTGGGGATCCTTGTTGGCGTGCTCCTCGTCGTTGTCGTCACCGCTCCCTTGCTCGCTGTCTTCTTCTTCTGCTTCCTCTTCGCTCTTCGTTTGCAGGAGCTCGTCTTCGTCTCCTTCTCGTCACTGTGCCGGCTCCCCTTCGTCTTCGTTGAGATTCTCCTCCTCTTCCTCCGAACTTTCTTCCGCGAGCTCCTCGCGGATTATCTCCTCCAATTTGTCTTCGTACGGCGGTCTGTAGAAAGCGGGATCCACGATGTTGCGCGGATCCAAGTAATCCAACCGTGAAGGCGGAATTCTCGATGGGAAGCCCTCCACGCAAGTTGACCACTGAAGATACGGCGACAACGTGCGCGAGGTGACGTGGGGCACCAAGCGCGGGTCGACCTGAGAGACAATGCTGATTGCAAGATGTTCGACCAGCTGCGCAATTGGGACCGTAAGCTCCTGGGTGAGAAGCCTCCGACAGCCTGGACGCACTGCCCCGAATAGAAAACCGAGAAGGTCCCCCTCTACTTCCGTCCGCCACGCCTGAATCAAAAGGAGCTCCAATCGCTCAGACCGCGGATAATTGCTCTCGTCCCTCGTCCACGTCACCCGTACTTCCGCCAAACACAGTGAGAGTTCAATGAAGTCTTTGCGCCACGCATCCCACTGAGAGGGATCGAGGAGGGGAACAACTAGAGGATCTATGCAGAAGGAGAGTCGGGGATGAAGATCATACTGCCAAAAGGTGGGGAAGGAAGAAGGAAGCTCGAAAGTAGAGATAGGGAAGGAACTCATCGGGGATGGAAGGGGATGAGAGGGGGTAATTGCGTCGGTGAGTCACGCCGATCCAGCCGAAGGCCGTTGTATTCGATCGCTCGGATTGGTGCGATCACGTCCCCTTGGTGCGCCAGGATCTGGGTCCACTCGTTATGAAGATTGTGCGCCCACAGAAGCAACGTCGCCTTGATTCTCGTGTGTCGTATGGGGGGGATCGCCGTGAGATCCCCACTGAAATTAACCACCACCGTTATCCGGCCGACGTCCACAGATGTTCGCTGTCGCAACCTGACAGCTTCGGCCAATATGATCACGTCATCCCTCCCGTCGACGTGGATCTCTGCTGCCGCGTAGACGCCCTTCGAGCAGAAGAATTGCGCAACCCGCTGAAGGTCCGGACTAAGACGAGGATGATGCACCTGCCGCAATGTCAAATTCCCGCGTGCTACCAGCTCTTCTTCACTTAGAGCTCTCTCCTCCATAAAGCTCATGGCGATTGCGAGGGTGACGGCGGATCCGACAGAGATTGAGAAGGAGAAGGAGATGCAGAGGAGATAGAGTCGTCGTTGGGAGAGGTTGATGGAGAAGGAGACGGAACAGAGGGAAGAAGACGGAGATAGGACACGTGGCRTGTGATCGGGCGAGCCGATCGACTGYCGGAAATCTCGGGAGYGAGGCGCACGGTGTCCACGCCSTTGGGTCCGAGTTCAATCACTCGATACTGTCCGAAGAATCGTGGCGCTAGTTTACCCTGGCGCGCACATTTCCTTACCTGCACGATGTCCCCTAACTTATACTGGGTCCTGGGACCCGCATTCCCGTTCCGGGCCTCGTWACTCCGGACCKGTCGGCCGTGGGCCAATTCGGTGGACCGTTGGCGCTTCCGAGCCAGTCTAGGTAGGGACCGCTCCATGAGTTCCAAGTGCCTTTTGGCTTTGTCCCGAGCGGTGGCCCTTGTGGGGCGTCGGTTAAGTCCTGATTCGTCGGGGAGGCTCGGTATCGATACATACGCGACACTATTGGTTCGCAACTGGAAGGGGCTTAGGCCCGTCGATTCGTGGGGCGTTCCGCGATGGACCGCCAAGATGTGGTCGACAATATCAGGCCAGGGTCGGGGGTCTCGTGCCGCAATATTCCGCCGCAAGGCCGTTTTTATCACCCTATTCGCGTTTTCCACTAATCTGTTAGACTGGGACATGTGCGGGGCCGTGTGCTGTATGGAGACGCCGTGTATGACCAGGTTCCTCTCGACTTCTCCTCTAAATTCGACCCCATTGTCGTTCAGGATCTCCTCTGTGTCCTGGTGCATGCCCAGAAAGCAGTTGACGTACCGCGCGATTTTCGCGGCTTGTCGTGTCTTGCAGGGGTAGGCCTCGATCCACTTAGAAAAGTGGTCGACGAAAACCAGCAGAATTGAACAGTCGCAACTATTCGGTCTGGGGGGCACCACTATATTAATAGTATCCATACTAACCCTCTGAAACAGCCTTTCAACCACAGTTGGGACTATTGATCTAGGCGGTTGGGTTGGGGTCTTGTCAGCAGCGCAGACCTAGCAGTGTTGGACGATGAATTTAACGTCGTCCCGGATATTGGACCAGTACCATTGATTTCAGTCAATCGCAGCTTCGGTAATACGCACGGCAAAATGCGCCGCCGTTTCCTCGTGGGCGGTTCGTACCCAGTCGTACCGCATGAACGGGTGCGGAACTACTAACCATGCTCCACTGCCGTCCGTTTTACGCTTCTCTAACCGTCCATCCACCCATCGGTAATCGCGTGCTCTTTCATTGTCCCTCCTCCGATCCTCCTTGGAGAAGGTTTCGAGGGAGTTGCCTACCACCGTGGCTATTAAGGCGACATCTGTCCAGACTTCCGCTCTTCTAAACTTCTGGATTTTGTCGGGGCCTTCCGATGTGGCATCGAGGAATCGGGCTTCCGTCGGAATCTTGTCAGTGCGACATAAGGGACAGAACCAGGGTCTATCACTACTCCAATGCTGTATGCACGCACCGTGAGCACGTGCGACACATTTCTGACAATCTACCCATTCAACATATCCCGTCCCTTTTGGACACATGTGGACGGAATAGACTCGATAAATTGCCTCGCATAAATAGCAAAATTTGTCAGGAAGGGAGGCGAAAGAAGAGGATGGGGAAGAAAGAGAGGGAATCGGGACATTACCTCCGTCACCCATTGCCCTTCATCGGCTTCTTGCCACGTGGAATAACCGCAACTTCTCCGTACTTTGGACCGTTGTTGATGTCCGGGTCCTTCCACGGTGTGATCTCTTCCGCTTTTGGTACTTTACCGGGTCGGTGCAAACGTGTCAGTCCGTCGGCGTTGCCGTGTCTTTCCGTTTTTCGATGAACAATTTCAAATTCATATTCTTGCAACTGCACCGCCCATCGTCCGATCATGCCCGTGTAGTTGGTTAGCTTTTTCAGAGCCAACAGAGGTTCATGGTCGGTGACGAGCAGAAACTTATGACCGTACAAATACGGATGGAAGTGTTGGATACCCCACACTACCGCATAGCATTCTCCTTGTGGCGCGGAATCGTTTCGTCGCTCGTCTGGCACCGTCCGAGAAGCGTACTCGATGACATGTTCCTTCCCATCGTTTCCCTTCTGCGCCAGGATGGCCGAAATAGCCTCTGGCTGCCAATCGGTGATGAGAATAAACTGCCGAGAGGGGTCCGGCCGGATCAGAATCGGGGCTGTGACGAGAGCATCCTTCAGGGCCCCGAAGGCCTGGTCGCACTCGTCATCCTAATGAAGGGGCTGTTCTTTTCGCAGCAGATTTGTCAGAGGTCTTGCTACAGCCGCGAACCCCTTGATGAACCGTCGGTAGCACGAGGCCAGGCCCAAGAAGGCTCGAACCTGCGTCAGTGAGGTCGGAACAGGGGCCTCTTTGACCGCCGCGACTTTTCGAGAGTCCGGCCGCAGGCCTCCACGTGTCACCACATACCCCAAGAACGAGATTTCCGGGAGGAAAAACTCGCTCTTTTCCAGCGCGATCTTGAAACCTGCGTCTCTCAACGCACTCAACGTCCATTCGATGTGCTGCGCGTGTCCGTGAAACGTGTCCGAGTACACCAGAATGTCATCCATGTACACAATGACGCAGAAGTTAATCATCCCCTGAGTCAACCGCGTCTTATTGACGAAATTCTGAAAAGTCACATTCATCGCCCGCTGCAACGTGGCAGGCGCGTTGCAGATTCTCATCGGGCACCGAACCCACTGCCACGTGCCTTCAAACAAAACGAAGGCGGTCTTGGGCCGATCTTCTTCTTTCACCAAGATATGATGAAACCCATGCCGAATGTCGAACTTGCCAAAGTAGTTAGCACACCCGATCGCATCAAGTAGATCATCAATCCGGGGAAGGGGATACACATCCTTAATCGCGATATCATTTAGCTTTCGATAATCGATGCATATGCGGACTGACCCGTTCTTTTTGGGAACCAACACAACTGGGAACGACCATTGACCGGTGGCAGGCTCAATCCATCCGTTTGCCTCAAATTCCCTGATTCGCTGCAAGGCCATCTTGCGCTCTATCAACGAGTATCGATACGGCTTGCAGTGGATCGGGGAATGATTCCCGGTCTGAATCTCATGTTGAACGACCACGGATAATCCAATATCGGCATCGGACACGCCAATCGCCCCTTGATATTCTATTAAAATATCAGCGATCAGCCGATGGATCTCATCAGGTACATACTAGGGCACATGCAATTCATACATCTGATCCAGAATCCGAACGTTAACCTGCTTCGTGTGTATACGCCGAGTAGTGTCACGCGGTGCAGATATAAAAGAGTGATCCGATCTCCAAGAAAACACAGTGGCCACCATTTGTGCTTCCTCCTCCCTGATCGCTATATGACCTTCGGGGATTATCCCGTCGCAGATGTCTCGCCAGGGCACGTTTTTGGGCGAAATTTTGATCCCGAATTCATCGGATCTTGCCTAGATGCGCTGAGGGGGTTCCAAAGAACCTGCTTCGGCTCCCAAACGCAACAACTGAACCTCTTTTGCGGGCTGAAGCAGGGATCGAGGTAAGCCAGTGAGATCACAAAAGGAACGCTTGTCACTATACCGAAGGAGAAGGGGAGATACACCTTCGTACAGGGTCCGAGGGGGTTCCAAGGAATCAACTAGCCTCGAAATCTGTACGAGGGGTTCTCCCATGATCAACATATGAGCATTCCGTGTGGTTAGATGCATGGTGCGCGCAATAGTGCGAGGCGGCGGGTAGTGAATCCGCTGCCGTAATAACCGCGTAACGACTGGGTCATCATCGTCGTCGCTCCACGCGTCGTTCGATGATTGGCCTCCGTCCACAGGTGCATTCCAGGAGACCATGCGGAGCGCTCCCATTGTTTCCGGAGAAATTCGGGGTACTACCTTAACCGACGTTCGAAGAGTTAGTCTCATGGGTATTACATACGGCTTTCCCCCGGTATTCCGGAGAATGACGGATCGGCGTTCGAAGTCCAAATTAGCACGCAGCGCCACTAATGCAGGAAGCCCGAACAGAACGTCATACGTATTCACGTCCAGCACCACAACATCTCCTAAAGCATGCACTTTTCCCAATCGAAACGCGACATTCGTCATACGCCCTACTGTCTTGATCTTTTCCTCGTCAGCCGATACGAGCTGGTCCTTATTGGTTAGCATAATCAAATCATTCTTCCTACCCGCTCTCTTGACTACTCGGAGTGATATCGCCAGGACAACCGATCCCGAATCTATGATCGCACTATACGGCATTCCCCAGACTTCAATATCACATTCGGCTGACTTCCACGGAATCGGCTTGATCCGAAGAAAGTGGTCATCTTTCTGTATTAATCCGACTCGGATGGGATCAGGGGCGACGTCCACCTTTTCCTCCGAAGGCGGCGCCTTCGCCTTCTGATCTTTTGCGCGTGCAAAAGCGAATCGCTTCCCGTTCGCTTTGCAATGCTGCATCATGCGTTCGTTCGCCTGTTCCGAGATGGAGAGTAGGTGGCCGATTGGGAGCGGGATTCGATGATCCAGTGCTCGAGTGACCTCAAGGACATCGATTTCTCCTGTAACAAAGGTAGGGCCTCCCGTCTCCATTTCGCACGACGAAGGCCGCCATTTGGCGACATCCCTGGACTCGAGTTCCGGTCGAATTGTCCCAATCATTCCCAGCCCCGGGTATCCTAGTGATATGTACTGCTCCAGCGGGATAAGCTCAGCTGCTTCCTCACTAGAAATCATCATTCCCGTATTTCCCCCCTGATCATCCATCACGACTCCTACACGTCCTGGGCCGTTAGCTATGGGAGCTGCAGCTGCAAGCGCGATCCCGGCTCGGGGCTGCATGGCACGATGGGGGCAATCTCGGGCCAAGTGTCCCGGTTGATGACATGTAAAACAGACATATGTCGTTGTCCCGGCTGGCCCCGCTGCCACTTGTGCAGCAGCCATGCCTCCCTGCATTGGTGCTCGCACCGCAATGGGTCGCATATTCCGCATCATAGCTTCTAATCGGGCGTTGTGCTCTCGATGTTCCTTCTTGCTTTCTTGGATTAGACTAACCAATGTTTTAGTTAGCTCCGAGATAGCAGTAGACTCATTCTTTTTTGCGGGTGACTCGATGGTGGGTGGCGGTGGAGGTGGCCGAGTTACGGTTGGGGACGCCATTATCGGGATCTGCCTGTCTACAGTCGCTCCATGGGGTGTGGTCCTCGGTATTACCTGCTCTACATACGTAACGGGTCTGGATACGAATCCCATGTTTTCGAATTTGTTTTGTAGTGTGGCCAGTTCCGCCCTTGCTTTCACAAGTTCGGACGAGTCTCCTTCTCTACCGTAATCCTCGTTTTCTAAGAAGCTAGCTGCGAATTTCCTCTCCATCTCTTCGGCAGAGTCCATAATTTGTTGCAGCGTGTGATCAATGGGAGAGAAGTTTTTACGTAGCTTCCCCCGAATCGTTCTGTTACGTAGTCCATCAATGAACAGGTCCCGGCCTACCTGCTCGCCTCGCTCGGTCTTTACAAACATTCGATGAAATCTGTTCCGATACTCGGTACTGGATTCGAGTGGTTTCTGGACTCAATCCTTGATCATATAGAGCGCCTACTCGGGGTGAACATAATCGAAGTGGTTCATGAAATCCCGCTCGAATGTGGGAAGATCCACTCATACATAAGTGCTATACCAATAATGGGCGTCTCCCCCCATCCGCGCGGGGATGTTAATCTGAGCTTCATCGTTCGTATACCGCTGAGCTCGGAGCGTGGCCAACCATGCTCCGGCAAGATGATGTGCTGGGTCAAATAAATAAAGATCTGGTGGAGCCGCAGGGGTTCGCGCAGACGGGTTAGGCGGTTGATTGGGGATGGCCGCCGCAGCGGCTGCTGCAGCAGCGGCCGCAGCCATGGCGCCTGCTCGCCTTGTGGCAGAGGTTCGGCTTCGTGTAGCTACAGGACTACGTCGACGTGTATTACCAGTTGGAGGGCGCCTACGCGGATCCAGATCGCCTCGCCTTAGCCAGTATTGAGTCTACAGACCCTTATCGCTTAGCCACGTGTCGGGCTCCGATACCAACCTCACGCCCGGCGCGACTTCCTGATCGGAGTAGGGTGTGGGCCTGGAAGTGCGAAAAGGGGTGTGCCAAGTATTTTTGGAAGGTGGGGGTGGAGTCCCAGGTCGGAATTGAGATCTCCAGTGGCAAGGTTCAGGGGCATAGATGCAATAGAGCAATGGGAAAATTTACGGGCGCGGGCTGGCACGTTGGTGGTGCGGGGCCGTCCGATCCTGACGCGATCGCCAGTTCTGGGGAGCCTGTCGAGGCGGTCCTTGGGGCTCACGTCTGCGGGGCCCGCCACGTGGCGTGGGTTGGTGGGAACTAGGCCCAGGTGCTGAGGCTTCGGGGGTTCGGGTATGGGCACGCCGCCTGCAGCTTCGACACGGGGTGGAGGGTCAGCAGGGTGCTATGGAATTCCACGGTACTACTGTAAGCTGATGATAGGGGAGGAGGTGGTATGGCGGGAAATTAGTGGCGATAATGGCGAAGCCGGGAGTTATGAAATACTGCGTGTTGTACGTGTTTGGGTAGTCGGGTCCCCGCGGGTCGCTTCGTACGGCGAGATGGAATTCCCTAGCGCAGAATCTATCATTCTCTGTGAGGCAGGGGAATACCGGGTTCCTCAAATTTCCCCGTAATCGGAGCTGCTCTTCTTCCTTGATTTCTCGGTACCCGAAATATGACTCGTAATCCTTGGAATTCCAAGATACGTCGGAACTCCGCGAGCTCGTCATTCTTTCATCACTCACGCCTTGCGGGATGAGTTAATCAGGGAGATCACCGCTCGTAAGTGCATAAGAGAGATGCAATCGAGTCGCACTTACGCGCACTTATGCGTGATGGGTACCCCGATCCCGATTGACATCGACTCCTACTTCAGTGAGGGGCTGGCTACGCGCATTGGCGAGTCCGAGTGGTATGGACACATGTAAGCCGCGCTCCGTCCGGATCGCACTTGCATGTGCCCATATGGCACGTCGGAYRGTGTGCTCCARACTACCCGTAAGATACGACAAGCCAACWCACTCTATTRATCACGCSAACATGCAATCCCCATTTTCACTCATCATGTACGAGGGTTCGAGGGAAACGATMAAAAACGAAAGGCGAGGGTSCGCGAACCRTCCATACATCATTTGCAAAAGAGGATTCCGGAGAAGGAAAGAAAAAGGAGAAAACATCGATGAAAAACCAAATCAGACAACAGGACGAGTATATGGTTGCAAAGACAAGGGCGAATTGCCCGTAATGGACACCAATATTTATATACACAGATAAAAAAGGGAACGAAAAGAAAAGCGCAAATCCATGTCCATCCTCAATCTCAACTCCCTCTCCTCTCTCTCTCTCTCCGATGCCGACAGTCCGTCGTCGAGCACCAACACACGAAGCCGTCACCCCGCTTAGTCCTCCTGCGCCCGTCAGGTTCGCTCCGCGCCCACAGTCCGTCGTGGCTCGCGTCAACCCCGCGGATTCGGCACCAGCTCGTCGGGTCGCCCGACTCCCACTTCACTCACCTCTTACTTCGCTCGTGTGCCGACCCTCTCGATCGCGCAACCCCGAGCTTCCAGCAACTGTTAAGAGAGCAAGTTAATCGCGCAGCCGGAATTTATAGCGTGCATGCATGCGCGAAGAACACGGAATTACAAGGACGTAGATAGATGGGGGAGAGGGAGTGCCTACGTTTGCATGGCCGGGCCGCGGCGTGGGGGACGTACCCACTCCACGCATCGATCCGAACATGCAAACGCGGCTACCCAATGTAGGCAGGGGGGGGAAGGAAGAAACGAGGCGGGAAGAAGAAGAAGCAAGAAACAGAAAGATACAGTTACAAAAGTATGCGCCAAAAATTACAGTTGCAAAAGGATTGAGGCGCCAATCAACCAAGGTTCCGGCGCAGCAGCAAGAAAGAGYGCGCGAACATGCAGAGCAGCGCSCCAGAAAAACAGAAATTCCWAAATTCCWAAATTCCTAGCTARCCTGCCGAAAAGGTCCGAAAAGAAAATCAAAATTCCGAAGACCGTATGGCTCCGACCAAGATTCGAAAAGAAAATTCAARAAAGAAATTYRAAAAGAGACACCGAAATTCCCGCGYGATGTCTGCGCGCCCAAGAGTCCGACAAAACAAAATTAAAAGAAKKAAAAYGAAAGAAAAGAAGGGACGTCAATGTTKATTAATCGCGCACTCGGCGCGCATTCCGCATCCGTCCAAGTTTCGCCCCCTTTTCCCCGTGTATTCCCGAATTGTCCCCAACTGTCATCAGGGGCTCGTGCGAGAACGAAGAAACAACAAAAAAGCAAGGACACACATGCAATTTTCCATCAACCCGTCCAATCGACGTGGGACCCCGCTTAGCACTTCGCGCCGAAAGTCGCGCGTTACAGAAGCTAGTTCGTCACAGCCTCCCCTAAAAAATTTGCAAGGGCTGCGCTAACGCAGCACAGCCCTGGCGCGAGCTGTTGTGATCTACAGTTGAGGCGTGCGTATTCTCCGGTCGACGTACAGCTTCCGAGTGCGTTTCACTGTGGTGGAGTGGATGTTGGCCAATTTTACCTTTCATGCTGGCCAGGAGAGCGATGCTAAAGCTACAAACAGGAGAGAGAAGTCCAAGCTGGAGTGAACTGCACGTGGTGGGAAGGAGAGTGGTGAAGGGTGGGCGTCTCGATCCGTGTGGAGCAGAGAAACTTGTGCATTTTCTCTCCGATGGTCCCTACACTGGCTCGCTTGAGCATCAGGTTGCTAAATGGCATGATTTCCACAGACGAAATTGGCAAGTCACTTCCTTCTTTGAGAGAGCTACTCGGTTTTATTTTAGCAGTGCACGTGCCTTTGACGAGAGAGAGAGAGAGAGAGAGAGAGAGAGAGAGAGAGAGAGAGAGAGAGAGAGAGAGATGGTCCTGCCTCCATATCCATTCTGGGGAGTGTCAGTCCGGTTCCTTTCCCCCCGGCAAGTCATGAAAATTACAACAGATCACGCACACTACTCTTCCTTCCGTCTGGCCGAAGGACTCCTGGATGGCATTGGTTACTTCCAAAAGGAGTTATTCCTAAAAGTTAGGGGACTCCCCCCAGTGCGGGCCTGTGGGCGGGCAGAAATTTGTTTGTGTCCCACGCGTCAGGGTTGGCACTGGTGCCGCACGGGCCAAAAAAAAAAATCCTAAAAGTTAGGGTCTCAACCCAGGGCGGGCCTACCGGGGCGTGCATAATTTTTTTTGTTGTCCCACTTGTCAGGGTTGGCACAGGTGCCGCATGGAACAAAAGAAAAGGTTCCGCCTGCCCCCAGGCCCGCTCTGGGGCAAGTCCCCTAACTTTTAGGAATGACTCAGTTTGGCCTCAAAAGTTTGCCCGGTGGTGTACTTGTTGTTGTTTAAGGTTCCCTAATTTTTTGTTATTAAATGGCCACTACCTTTCCCAGGCAACATCGAGAATCGAGAATCGGAAATGCTCTCTCGCTCACAGCTGGAAACAAAGGGGATCCTTTTTTTTCTTTTTTCTTGGGACAAATGCTCCAATCTATTCGTGGGGAGGAACACGTGCTGGGAACCGGGCCCAGTGTCCCATATAGAATTATACAAATGATTTGAAATACCAGGGCCGAAACAAAGGGGATCCTATCTCCCATTTCCTCCTACTCTGGCAAATCCTGTCCACGGCGAAGGGCAGATCTAGACCATTGCCTTATGGACTGCCCAACAGCAATCCAGATTTGGACATGGTGGGACGCATCGTGGTGCTACCTGACTGGCAATGACCACCGGGTGGGTCCCCTGCAACCTCGCGATACTACTGTTGGGAAACACCGAGAGGTTGCCAGAACGTCCCGAGCCCCAACCACATGGAGTATTTTTGACGGGTCCCTATTCCTCATATACCAGGTTGGAGGTTCTGATGACCATCTGGAGGGCTAGATGCTCTCATGAACATCAACAGACTACCTTTGGCTGTCTGTGTGTGAGCCAAACACCATGATAGCATTGACAAGGCAAGATCAAAGCTACACCAGGCAGGGACAATTCTGCGGGTCCGGAACAACTGAAATCATCAACTGACCATCCACAGCAACAAGAGGAAGCAATAGAGTCTTTCAAACAAACATGGAGGGATGTGGGTAGAAAGATGGGCCAAAAAAAAAAGAAAAAAGAAAAAAAGAAAAGAAAAGAAAAGAAAAGAAAAGAAAAAAGATGGGTCAGGCCTCAGTAGACAACAGTAACAGAATAAACTGGGAACAAAAAATGGCAGAAGACAGAACTCAGCTGGACCTGGAGGGTCAGTGCATAAATTTACACTACCCTTCCCACTAAATGCCATTTTCCTTCTCCAGCCAGCCAGCCCAGAGAACCTGTCTTAACCCCCCTGGCAGCAATCTTCACTGAACACCTTCTACACCATGAGCTCGACCACTTCCCCCATCCCTTCCGCTCCCCCACTAAATATACCCCCTTGGACCCCGCCATTGCCAGATTAGTCACCGCCCATCATCCCATTACCACTCCTCTCAACTACCTCCCCACCTCTTCCTTCACAGCCCCTCTCACTAACCCCACCACCACCACCACCTGGGCCTCTTCTTTCTGCTGGAAGCAGATAGACCAGGGGGTGAAACAGCAGATCAGAAAAGACTACTGATGGACCGCAGAATGAGGATGCGCCCAAGACGACTGTAAGGCGAAAGGACCGGCGGGTGGGGACAGGTCCGCGGAGCAGGTGTATTTCACATACGGCGGAAGATCGGACGAGTTGGCACCGCGGACATCCATCATCACCGACGATGTTGCAAGCAGGGCAGAGGGTAGCGGCAGTCGACGACCTAGTACGGGTCATGCAGCTCACGCATCCGCTATAGACCTCCCCCCCCTCCCATACCACCCAGTCCTTGCAGCAGAACAGATTCTCAGAAGCAGCACAGCAACAAGCTCAGAAGTCAGGAGTCAGAAGCGAGCTAACCTTCAAGGACACAACTTGCAGCCCTTCACAGCACTGTACAACTCTCCAAGCAAAGACATCCCAATAGAGATACGGTGGACTGACAAGATACCTGCCAGTGAAGAAGCCTGCGAGTCGAAGCCCAATAGCGCTTCTGCTAGTATAGATAGACAGAGATCTATCTGTGTCAAAGGCAGGACAGCAATACAGAGGAGGGCAAACAGAGGCTATACATAGGGATTTCATTCCTAGGTTATGAACTGGAAAGTTGTGTGGAAACATATGGGAATCCGATGGCAAGATAAGATGAGGAACTTCTTGAATAGAAATTCCAGCAACCAAATCCGAATAATGCCATGAAAGCTCTGCTGTGACCAAGCCCCTTGTTCCAGACCTCAAAAAAAAAAAAAAAAAAAAGAGAGAACTCCAATGCGACATTCCGAAGACTTGGAATGAACAGAGCTTCCGGAGCAAAATGGCTGGCGGCTCCAGCCAAAGGAACAAGGAAAAAACACCGCAAACGGTGCAAAGGTGTTTCGGTGCAGATATGCATGCAGGGCAAATCCCACCTTGGCAAAAAGAGAGGCTCGGAGGTAGTGTTGGTTTAAAACACCACTACCTTTCTCAGACACAGTCGGCCACCTAAGTTTGTTTACATCTGCATTTTTTTAATTTTATTATTATTTTTTTATTTATTTTACATCTGCATTCTTCAGGGGGCTCAACCTGGCGGAATTCTTTTGGCTAGTGGCACCGGCCAAACAAACTCGGCGTGGAGCACAAGTCTGCCATGGAAATAGAGGGTTGGAGGGAGTGGGGTTTAGATGAACATGCTCCTGACTTTTTCTGCATTGATAAATGTCGTTCATGTAAAAAAAAAAAAAAAAAAAAAAAAAGAAGAAGCAATGCTGGATGGCTTTTTGTTCATGATCAGTGACGTGTTGGAGATGGTATTTTGGGCCCGTTCCGTTTTTTGTTTGTTTGTTTATTTGTTTGTTTGTTTTCTCCCTTTCTTGAGCAGCAGCCCTGAACTGTTTGTTGATAGTTTGCATGTGTGCCCCCTTCAGCTACGAGGCTGGTAACCATGTTCTTTTTTTTTTTTTTTTTTTTTTTTTGATAACCATGTTCTTGCAACTTCTTGGAAGTAAAATTTTCTTCATGTCTATCATCATTGCAGGAGATCGTCGCTGTCAGCTCCTGGCATTTATGGCACAGAACCAATGTGCTTCTGTGTAAACCGGCAAAGATAAGACCAGAGCTTTGACTGGGTTCCCATCTGAACGGCCCTCCATACACACAGGCAAGGTGCTGAAGTTTGCCCGCTGAGACAGGTTGCCACAAAGCTCTACCAGAGAGGTAGCCATAGCCACAGAGAGAGAGAGAGAGAGAGAGAGAGAGAGAGAGAGAGAGAGAGAGAGAGAGAGAGAGAGAGAGAGAGAGAGAGAGAGAGAGAGAGAGNGAGAGAGAGAGAGAGAGAGAGAGAGAGAGAGAGAGAGAGAGAGAGAGAGAGAGAGAGAGAGAGAGAGAGAGAGAGAGAGAGAGAGAGGGACAAAAAAGGTGTGTGGCTGTAGACTTGGGACTGAAATTGTGCACGTGCTGAAGGAGAGATGGCAACGGCTGTGGTTCGCTCAGCGGCAGGTTTGGCAATCGGGACAGGAAATGTGGCACAGAGCAATGGACTGTTGAGGGAGCTACACACGGCGGACGCATCTTGTGTTTCAGCAAGGAAGGCGTCATACACTCCTGCTCCAATAAGTCAGAATTTCTCGAATGCCGCGTGCTTGTCCAGCAGAAGATGTTTGGAGGCCTCAGTGGCAGAGAAGAGCACTGGTAGGCGTGCAAGGTCGTCAATCCCTGCCGGCGGCATTGCGATTGCCATTGCCGCACATGCCGCAGGCCAGCAGCAGGCATGTGATATCACCCCTCATCTGTGTCCAAATGGCGGACGTTTTGCAGCAGCAGAACACCTGCATATTGGGGAAGAAGGAGGTAGATGGGCGACAGCGGTACCTTCAATGGGTGTGTACCGTCACCGCCGCCGCCGCGGCCGCCACCGCCACCCCATTTGTGCGGCATCGGCGGCCTCCGGCGGCAAAGGGGCTCCAGCCTCTGGCGGCAAGGGGGCTGCGTCCTCTGGCGGCAAGGGGGCTGCGTCCTCTGGCGGCAAGGGGGCTGCGTCCTCTGGCGGCAAGGGGGCTGCGTCCTCTGGCGGCAAGGGGGGTGCAGCCTCTGGCGGCAAGGGGGGTGCGGCATCCGACACCCCGAATATTGCCAAGGATGTCACACAACTGATTTGCAACACGCCAATGGTCTATCTCAACAAGGTGGTGAATGGGTGTGTGGCAAACGTGGTAGCGAAGCTTGAACTCATGGAACCGTGTTCCAGTGTGAAGGATCGGATAGGGTATAGTATGATTAAGGATGCTGAAGAGAAGGGACTAATTAGCCCGGGAAAGACGGTCCTTGTGGAGCCAACAAGTGGGAACACGGGAATAGCATTGGCATTCATTGCGGCGGCGAGAGGGTACAAGCTGATCCTGACGATGCCGGCGTCGATGAGCATTGAACGGCGTGTGCTGCTCAAGGCCTTTGGCGCGCAGCTGGTCCTCACTGACGCGGCACATGGGATGAGAGGAGCTGTCCAGAAGGCAGAGCAGATCGTCAAGGCGACTCACAACGCCTACATGCCCAACCAGTTTGAGAATCCGTCAAACACTAAGATCCATTACGAAACCACGGGGCCTGAGATCTGGAAAAATACAGGGGGAAAGGTCGACATTTTTGTGGCAGGCATTGGGACTGGAGGGACCATCACCGGGGTCGGTCGCTATCTCAAGGAGAAAAACCCTAATATCAAGGTGATAGGTGTCGAGCCCAGTGAAAGCAATGTTCTGTGCGGAGGTAAGCCTGGCCCACACGACATTCAGGGGATTGGCGCGGGATTCGTGCCAAGCATTCTAGATGTTAACATCCTCGATGAGGTCATCGCCATCTCCAGCGACGAGTCAGTGGAGATGGCAAAGCAACTGGCACTGAAGGAGGGATTGCTCAGTGGGATCTCGTGCGGCGCGGCAGCCATCGCCGCCATTCGAGTGGCAAGAAGACGTGAAAACAAAGGGAAACTTGTTGTCGTCATTTTCCCAAGCTCCGGCGAAAGGTATATAACATCTGTCCTCTTCAGCTCTCTCCGANCAAGCTCCGGCGAAAGGTATATAACATCTGTCCTCTTCAGCTCTCTCCGAGACGAGGTCATGAAAATGGAGCCGCAATTGTAGCCAAAGGCTGGACGGTGAACGAAAGGGGGGCGACACAAAGAAAATGAGCACACATAGGGGGTCCTCGCTCCACCACGCTCGATTCTATGCAAAAATCGAGAGTGAGTGGGTTGAGATGTAATGGTTGTAAGAGATGACAGCTTCAAGTTGTGTACTGTTTTTTGAACTCATCTAATAATAACTTGATAAGTTTCATGTCGGCAAAGCAAGGGCCTCGCTTCACCCCTCTCCACTCGAAATGTGCAAAACTAGAGTGAATCTTCCGCTAGAACAAGGAAAGGTATATCGCCATGATTTTTGTCTTTTGTGCATTTCCAGAGTAGTGGAGCGACGCCCCAAGTGCCGGCCATTGCTTGACTTCTACTCTATTTGAGAGATGGGGCCGTGGCTCGACTGCTCTCGATTCTCTACCCATTTTGTACTACTATAGAGGGGCAAAAAAAGAGGAGGAAAGTATTCAATGCACCTGGCCGTCACGACTGGAGGTGAACAGTAGGTTATCAAGAGCGGCGCGGACCTCCCTCCAAGTTTTGGTTTGTGGAGGCTGTGCACTCTCGTCTCAGGGAGAGTGTGCTCTCGCTGACAGTCTCAATTTTGGAAATCGAGAGTCGAACCAAGAGTGCAGTGGATTTCTCTCTTTTTCGCAAAATTGAGAGTTGTGGGGCCCATACACTTCTTCTTTTTTCAAAATTTGTTCATTAGCGGCAAGAAACTCTGAATGGTTATTGATCACAATTTCCAATCAGTCGTTACTCATTTAGAACTAAGCCTCTTGGAAAAGTTTCATTATGACTGCCAGAAATTTCTTTTGACATAGCTACAAAATTTTGGAGTTAAAAAATTCGACCGGAACAGCAGATACCAGGGACAGATTTCAATCAGGAACCCCCCTCCCCCTCCCCCTTCTTCTTCTCTCTCTCTCTCTCTCTCTCTCTCTCTCTCTCTCTCTCTCTCTCTCTCTCTCTCTCTCTCTCTCTCTCTCT